ATTAACTGAAATGACGTTGAGAATCTATAGTTGTTGAAGTAATTTGCCCAGCATTGCTGAGAATTACTTGTTACCCCCCACCCGAGGTAAGGAACAAGTGACTCAGCTCTGCAACGAAATTTTGGTCCTTCGAGCCGGATAATTTCAATTTTGATGGCAACTTGTACTTTATCTTTTGAATTTCTTTGACAAGCTGAGATGGTTTGATTAGGGATGGATTTATTCGCTGGTGATTAACATCAATGAGCATATGTATTATTGCTGTCTGTGTGTTTTCACACTCATTTAATATCGATTGTAACTGCATGGTGATTAACTGAAATGACGTTGAGAATCTATAGTTGTTGAAGTAATTTGCTTTTAAATTTTGGATGTTGTTTATTTGATTATCGATTTTAGTAAATTGATTATTGACATCTGTTGTAGTTTTTCTGAGGACGTTGAGTGTACCGTCGATTAGTGAGGTTTGCTTTTTAATCATGCTTTCAGTGTCATTTTGGTTTTCAAATCAGTTTTTCATATTTAGCTCCATTATTTCTCTATCATCACTGTCCATTAGTCCAAAGAGTAAGTGATAAAGCGAGCCTATGATTTCTAACGGCGCTCTTTTGGCTCTTTTTGTGTACATAAGAAGCTGGTTGTTCGATTTTAGTAGTTCATATTTACTACTTAGATTTTTTGCTACTATTTCACATTGTTTTGTTTGTTTGTTGTTGTCTTTGAAATAAGATTCGAGATTGTAGTATATTACCAAGTTCCAACGAGAAGCTATGACATCTACTCTGCCATAAGAGTCCAAGTATACGGCTGAACTATTTGAAAGGCTCATTTTTGTGATGAAATTTGTACTTGCTGTTGCTTCTCCTTTTATATTAAGAAGTTTTACAATAAGTACCAAAAATACTAGCAACATTTCAGCTACTGACCATTTAGGTCTTGTTAAATTATTACTGGAAGATTTTGTGAAAGTATAGTTAGATTTCACTTTTTCATTTTGAGTACCCTTTTCGCCATCTTCAATACAATGTAATGGACACAGCTTTTGTATTGATCTTTTAATAGTTCCATCACTTGTTTTTATGGTAGCTACGCGGACTTTATCATCTTTACCTTTGTGTACTTGTGTTACTTTACCCAAAGGCCATCTTGATGGGGGTGTGTTTTGATTTTTTATTATTACTATTTGGCCTTCTTTTATGTTTAAATGGTCGACTTTCCATTTATTTCGCTTTTGCAGTGTTACAAGATATTCATCTTTCCGTTGATTCCAAAAGTCTCTCTTCAATTTCTGAATGATTTTCCAACGGTCTAAAGCTCCGATCTTTTCCACATCTGGCGCAACTTCTGGAATATCCAAAAGCGGTCTGCCAATAAGGAAGTGCCCAGGCGTAAGAACGTTGTTGTCTTCTATTACAGATCCCAGCGTATACAACGGTCGTGAATTAAGTACCGATTCTATTTGGCATAACAACGTTGACATTTCTTCGAAGGTCAATTTGGTTTCACCAATCACTCTTCTTAGGTGGTGTTTTACGGATTTTACACCTGCTTCCCAAATACCTCCGAAGTGAGGACTTGCCTGCGGGATAAAATGCCATTCAATCTTTTCATTTGCTAATATCAGGGCTACAGAACAGTTGTTTTTAAGAGCGTTGTTAAATTGAGACTCTATGCTTCAATTTGCTCCGATGAAATTAGTTCCATTGTCGGAATATATGTGAGAGCTTTTTCCTCTTCTAGCAAAAAATCTTCTCAAAGCTGCTAAGAAGGCTTCTGTCGTTAGATCCGATACTGCTTCTAAATATATAGCCTTAGTTGCCATACACACAAATATTGCAATGTAGCCTTTATATGCTTTAATACCTCTATTTTTGGAGCACTTAATAAGTAATGGCCCAGCGTAGTCAACACCTGTATGTGTAAAAGGTGAAGACTGCGTAACTCTCATCTCAGGTAGGTTTTCCATTATGTGATGAGCAGTTTCTTGTCGATATCTAACGCAATTTCGAATACATTTTTTAATTTGCTTTTTTAGATTTATTACCCAGTACTTTCTTCTTACCGCTGCTTCTACTAATTGGCTGCCACCATGCAATGCTTTGTTACATAACAATTAACTCTGATAAGTACGATTTATTAATAATTGCTGGATGTTTTTGCTCATACGATATATTTGAGTTCCTCAGCCTACCGCCTACTCGTAACACACCCTCGCCATCGATAAATGGATACAAGTTTGATAACTTACTACAATGCTTTATATTTTCTTTTTTCAGCAGTTTTTGAAATTCATTTTCAAATTCTTTATGCTGATGCCTTTTTATTATGTCTATTTCTGCCGTTTTTAAATCTTCTGATGATAAATATTGCGAATGTAATTTCGTTTTTCTCAGTTTATTTCTAAAACGAAATACAAACACTCTAATTAGTTTTGAAAAACTGGAGTATTTTTCTGTAAGAGACTCTAGAGGATGCTGTTCATTAATTTTACTCACTGCAGTTACAGCGCATGTTGTCTACTCGCTGATTGATTGGGGCCACTTGTCTTCTGATTCTTTCAACCAGTCTGGACCATTCCACCACAATTTGTGTATTTGTAATTATAGGGAGGAATTCCTCTCGATGCTACGTCTGCTGGATTTTCTTTAGAAATTACATGATTCCATTTTGCACTTGGAATCAAATTTTTAATTTCGCTGACTCTAGTCCGAATAAATTTGTCTTTACTTTTGTTGGTTTCTATCCAACTTAAAGTAATAGTAGAATCGCTCCATGTATAGATTTTCGTCTTTTGCTTAGTCGTGATTAACATTCGATGTAATAATTTTGATAACAGGTGAGCTGCACAAAGCTCTAGTTTAGGCAAAATTTTCCTATTTTTTATCGGATTCACTTTACTTTTTGCTGCTACAATGATTATTTGCCCATCACATTGTCGCGTACTGGCCGCAACAAAATAAACATTTGTTTCCCCTTTGTTCTATTTACCTATTTCCTTTCACTCCAGCCGATAGGAGTGAAGTCTGCCGACACTCAAGTGTACATATGTGTGTACATACCTAAATAAATAGCAGAATGAGCTCAAGTTGAGCGAAATAGTTGTTTGTCGGTGGAGCGCCACCGCAAAGGGGAAAAGTCTCCATTA